AGATGATATGGGAGTAAAGGAGAATTCAGTATGTGTATATTTTTCTAATTGGTGCATGCTTATGAGCCTAGCTTTAAAAAAATATAAATACAATTTTTTTACATTTACCCACGTTTACCATTTTCAAAACCCTCATTCCTTTTTGGAGATCCAGATTTGCAGCTGATATCATTTTTCATCTGCCTGAAGAACTTTCTCTAACATTTCTTGTAGTGCGTGCCTGTCATATTTTCTTTGCCTGAAAACGTCTATTTTACCTTCATTTCTAAAAGACGTTTTCACTGGCTATTGTATTCTGGGTTGACTTTTTTTCTTTCAACACTTTAAAGATGTCATTCCTTTCTCTTCTGGCTTACATAATTTCAAATGAGAAATCTGCCGTAAGTCTTACTCTCGTCCCTCTGTACATCATCTAGTTGCACCTGAGATTTTATCTTTGTCACTGGTTTTCAGCAATTTCATTATGATTCGCCGTGGTGTGTGTGTCTTAATGTTTATTCTGCTTGGGGTTGGTTGAACTTCTTGGATCTGTAGATTTATACTTTTCATCAAAAGTGAAAAATTTGGGGTCGTTATTTTTTTCAAATATTTTTTCTATTTCTCCCTCTTTTTTTCCCCTGAACTCTTCTTACATGTATGTTAGACCACTTACTATTGTTCTGTAAGTCATTGCAGCTGTATTCATTTTTATCAACAATCATTTTTCTGTCTATGCTTCATTTTGGATAATTTCTATTGCTTTGTCTTTAAGTTAAACACCAATATTTTATTTTTGCAGTGTTTAATCTAGTGTATTTTTAATTTCAGAATTATATTTTTATCTCTAGAATTTCCATTTGGATCTTTTTTATGTCTTTCATTTCTGTCCTTGTTTTATTCATGTTCTGTTTTATATCCTTGAGCATATTTATAATGGTTGTTTTAAGGTCCTTGTGTGTTAGTTATATCATTTCTGTTATTTCTCTATTTGTCTTTATTTTAAAACAATTTTTTAAAAAATGTATGGTTATAAGTCATATTTTTTGCTTCTTTGCATGCCCGGTAGTTTTTTATTGGATGATGGACATTTTGAATTTTATGTTGTTAAGTGCTGGATCCTGTTGTATTCCTTTAAAGAGAGTTGGATTGTGTTCTGGAATGCAATTGAGTTTTTGTGGATCAATTTGATCCTTTTGAGGCTTTTTTTAAAGCATTGTTAGGGAAGATCCAAAGTAGCTTCTAATCTAGGGTTAATCTAATTCTGCTACTCAGATGGGAGTTTTATGAGGATTCTATCCAATGGCCTGTATATTATGTGGCCTCTCAATTCTGGCTGGTGGGAACACAGCATTCCCAGCCCTGTATGAGCTCCAAGAATGGTTCAGCTACTGCCTACTAGTGGCTATTTCTTCTACTTCAAGTAGTTTCCTCTCACTCACGCCCAGGTTAATGCTCAGAGAAAGACCAAGGGGATCCATGCAGACTTCCAAAGTGCTCTCTCTCTCTGTATCTCCCTCTTCTTTATTACTCTGCCTCCAAATTCTATCAATCTCAACATCCCAAGACTCCAATTTATCCTTCCTTCAGCAACACTTCTAGATTCTATTTGGGTTTCCCTCTCTGTGCTATGACCTGGAAATTGCCTGTAGGCAGTAACTTGGGATCAATTATAGTGTTAAAGAATATTTATTTATATTCCATTTATATATGTCAATTAATTATAGGGCTCACCTCATTTGTGTCCCATGGTCCTATTAGATCTGTAATCCGTGTCTGAAAAGAGTTGTCTCGTGTTTTGTCTGGTTTTCAAGTTGTTTACAAGGGGAAGACAATTCCTATAGCAGTTAATTCTTAATGAACAGAAGCAGAAGTTCTACCGACTGAAAAACAACTTTTTAAGAGACAGTAGTTGTATGACTAGTTTTTTGATGGCAAGAAATAATATGTAGAAGAGTAAGGGAGATGTTCTGAAAACATACGGGGCTGTTGAGAGTTGTGAACCTGTGACAAACCATCTTGCACTTGGGGACAGTCTGGCTGGTATGGTATCTGTTTTCCTGATCTGAGTCACTGGGCAGGATTCTGTAATCTCTATCAAATAAATTGTAAGCCCTACCGTGCATGGTCTTGGATCTCCTACTGTCTGTGGCCTAGACAGTTTACCTCTAGAGACTTTGCGTGTATGTTGGGGGTGAGAGGAGGGGTTGGGTGGGCAGGATTTGCTCTTGGAGGAGCCTGGCAGACCTTTCTTTTTGTGCCTTGGATTCTGTATCTATCTTGTGGTCAGATGCCTCCCCATTACCCTCTGACACACTACTCCTCACCCACTTTCCCAATCACCCAACACTTTGAAGTCATTCAATTCTTTCCTTTCAATGACTAAGCCATTCACTGTTTCACCACCTCCTCATGTGTGAATCTCTGAATGTGTGGAAACGTTGGCGTTGAATTCCTGCCCCACTGGGGAGCCCAGTATCATAGTATATAAAGTGTCTTGGACTGAAGGAAGGCCTAGCACTCCATGCCAGTGAGTTTAGTCTGTCCAAAGGGACTTTTGGAATGTACTCAGGAATTTATCCCCCAGGAATTTATTGTCAGATGGACATGGTGTTCACAGAATCTCTCAAAGATGAACTGGAGCCAGCCCTGAGGGCCTAGTGGTTAAAGTTCAGCGCACTCCACTCCAGCAGCCCCCGTTGGGTTCCTGGGTGCAGAACCACACCACTCGTTGTCAGTATCCATGCTGTGGCAGTGGCTCACATAGAAGAACTAGAAGGACTTACAACTAGAATATATGACTGTGTACCAGAGCTTTGGGGAGGAAAAAAGAGAGAGAGAGAGAGGAAGATTGGCAACAGATGTTAGCTCAGGGTGAATCTTTCCCAGGAAAAAATAAATAAAAAATAAACAGATGATTTGGGCTTAAGATTATTAGCCTGTCTAGGATCCACAGTGTTTACCAGGCTTTCTCAACCTTAGCACTATTGATATTTGGAGCCAGATAATCCTTTGTTGTTTGGACCATCCTGTGAATTGTAGGGTGTTTAGCAGCATCCCCGGCCTCTACCTGCTAGATGTTAGTAGCACCCTCTTCTCAGTTTTAACTACCACAGATGTCTCCAGATATTGCCAGATATCCCCCAGAGGTGCAAAATTTCCCCAGGTGAGGACAGCTGGTATACATGCAGTATGCTGTGCGACACTCCAGGGAACCCATAGAAGTGCGGCTCTGGGAACTAAACATGAAGAAATCCAACAGGCCATTTAGCGTCTTCTTGGGAGAGGTCAGTCCAGAGTGTCTGCCCCTGTAGGGTGTTACTGGGAGGACACTGACCTTGGAATGTAAACTCCTGGATTCAAGTCCTGCCTATGCAGATTTGGAGCAAGTTTCTCCTCTTGTCTGCTCTTCGGTTTCCTTATGTGAAAATGAGGATTGATGTCATTTACCTCACGTGACACTGTTGTAGTGAGAACTAAATGAGGTTTTATATAAACATACACACTCATGTGTACTTCTAAATGATGTAAGGATATCTAAACGTGGACTTAATAATAATTCAAATATACGTGTACCTATTTGCCAGTCTGATAAAAAAAGGCAACATAGGAAAAATTTATCTTCCAATCTATCATAATGTGCGGTCTTCTGTAGGGCTTATAATATTGCTCTATTCCAGAAGGCACAATGGGGGTTGTTCAGCTTTAAAAAACAAAGAAAAAGAATAAAACAGTCTTTTCAGAAATTAACATTTCAGCTAAATTAGGATGCAAATGGTCATGTTTTTATTTTTACTTCTTAATTTTGCATTCAGTCATCTGACCAGACTGCACAAGAATTTAAATGTCTTGACAGGAGAGAGCAGCTTTTTGTTCTCTCAGGATTTCATTGTAATGAACCTAGTAAATAATTCAGGAACATATGAGAAGCCAGTGAATGGGCAGCACCTGGTGCTATATTGTTCCTGCCTAAGCACACAGAATCCAAAGACGGCATTCTACACCAGTCACTATGTTTCTGGCTTAAACACTCGTCCTATGTTCAGTGGCTATTGAAATAATAATAATTGATATTTTTTCCTCCACAATAAAAGAAAACTGTGCCAAGCTGTTTCAAAAACACAAAGCAGAAGTGGCATCCTCTTTTAAATTCCCATTGGTAAAATTTCAAATCTGTTTTCTCCATTAAGGGATACATAGCTTTAAAGAATAGGGGCATGTCTGCCTTTTCTACTGGAGCTAATTTGAACCTTTCCACATTTGTACTTTTGTTCTCCAACGTAGAGCTTCTCTTTAGATCACAGTGTTCATATTGCAAGCATCTTCTGAGGGAAATAACACCCTTCTCTGGCCACTCCACTCACGTTGTAAGAATTCCTAGAGCTCCTCAGTTTCTCTCCCTATTACCTGAGTGGCCTATCCTACATCTAGCAGTCTAACAGCTTAAAAACAAATAAACAACTCTTGGCAAAGGGTTTGCGTATCCTTCTCTGACCCAGCTGGCTGGACATGGAGTTCTCTCCACTCTCTGAGAGAACAACAGCTGGAGCGACTGACAGACATTGCACGCAGGATCAGCCCAGTGCCCCCCAGGATCAGACAGAGCTTAAGCCATGAGTTGTGTGGAAAGATCTTGGAATGGCAGGAGATTTCCTAGTAGGGAGAAAAAGAAGATATACCTCATACAAATAAACTGAAGTTTTTACAATACTGGGCCATAAAAAGGATCTGAAGAGAGGCTGTTGAGCTTTATGTCTATAAATGGTTAGATGTGCTTTGTCTTCGTTTTTAAAGCATTATTTATTAAAAATATATTTATTTAAATATATTATGTTTTAAATATTTGTTATGTATAATAAAGTATACACAATAAAAAATATAACTGCATAATTAAAATGTATAAAATATTTTTAAGCCTCTGTAATAAATAAACCATTTATGTACATATGTATGTTTGTGTTTATATATATATAGAATATATAGTTATAATTTCTAAAATTTATATATAGTTTGTTTGTTAACAGGTTTAATTGCTTTCCTTTCCTTCGACACCTGTGTGAGAGTACTTGGAGCAGTGACTGCCATCTGGTGGCAAGCCAGAATCATCATTTGGTGTAACCTAATGGTTACTAAGAGGCCCACTCTTGACTCACATGGTATGCACTGACAGCAGGGCACAAGGAGAGCCTGGAGCTGTCTGATGAAGGAGCCTAGTGAAATAACCCTTCATTTCTACCTGAATCGGTTGTTCATCCCAGATTCTGAGCCAGGAGCCAGCTCCAAAATGGCACCTCTGAAGAAAAGCTTTGAATGTTTTAGTCAAAGATCTGCTGGTTACCAACCAGTGGGTAACCAAGACTGTAAATAAGCACACACCAAGAGGGGCATGTGATGACATGGAGCCTGAAATAAACTGCTCTGAATTGTGTGACAGTTTTCCTGGCCAGGAGCTGGATCGGAGACCCCTTCATGATCTCTGCAGGACAACAATCGTAAGTGAGGAGCCAGGGGGTGTCAGGACTGCTCAGATATACTTGGTGGTGGTGGTGATGGTGGTGGTGGTCGTGGTGGTGGTGGCAGTGGTAGGAAAGAGGGGGAGAAGGAGAGAGAGGAGGAGCAGGAGGAGGAGCGGGAGGAGAGGAAGCAGAGGAGGGGGAGGGGAGGAGGAGGAAATGCTCATGCAGGACATGTGTGTCCCAGCTTTGGTGATGATAGGGCAGTTCATGTTTGATCTGTAGAAGAGCCTTCATTCCTGACAGCTTCTCTTTATTCTATTCTCAGACCTCTTCCCACCACGGCAGTAAGACCAGTTCTTCCTTATCTCCTGTCCTCTTGGGTACTGTTTGGACTTTTCTCAGCTGTGGACTTCTTCTAATAGTCTTCTTTCTTGGCTTCACAATTCGCTGCAGGAAGAACAGGTAAGCAGCCCCATGCCTAGTTTCTCATCTCCTATAGCCTGAATCATGAAACCCAGAGTGATAGTATCGTTTTGGCACGATGAGCTGACAGGTGGTATCAGCAAAGCTTGTCTCCTATGGTGGCATTAAGTTATGTGTGAAGTTCCCCTGTGAAATAGCCCTGGCCTTGCGATACAATTTCCTCTTGAGAAGGAGAAAGATCTAGCCCAGTATTGTGCTAACAGGGATATCCAAAGAGGAGAATGAAGAATCTCTCCTCGTAAAGGAGGGTATGATCTTTTTGAGAAGATGAGGTATTTGTACTAAAAACAGAGAGCCTGTAGAGAAATACTCCAAGGAAACATTAAAGTTTGTGGACAGCATAGTTGGAACCAGTCTGGGTGGGCTAAGGTTTCTGCAAAATTAGTGAAGCCCTGCTAGCTCGCTGTTCTGCTAGACAATTCTGGCTCATCGGGGCAAGTATCCATGGCTCCCAGGGCGGGCAAAAGAAACAAATTGAGGACTTTTTTCTGAAGGCACTTGCAGAATCCTGACTTCACTGCTATTTGAGCTTTCCCTCAGGGCCCATCCCATCTTTCCCACTCCAACATTGTACCTTCATCCTGCCCCAACTGTCCCAAGCTACCTCTTGAGAAGCCCTGCTCCAGCCCTCTCTCCCTGACCCACAGCTGACTTCTGGATGGAGCCCACATCAGATTTCAGCAACTCCCGCAGGAAGGCCAAACTCATCTGGCCCCGCTCCAGCCTTACACATTGTCATGACTAGGTGTGTTGTGCTCCATTGCCTGGGTTTGGCACTCAAATGAAGGTCAGTCAGTTGGATGTGTTTAGTAGGCATTTTGGAGTGCCATTGGCCGTTTGAGGCATGGAGGACATGGAATTGTTAAGCAGTGGTGACTTGATCTTCTGGGTCAACCTCAGCATGACAGTGACATGTGGCACTCCATTCTGAGTATAGCTCTGAAGTTGCCCCAGCCACTTTTCGTTCTGTTCCTCAAATACACCAAGCCTACTCCATCTCAGGGTCTTTGACTTACTGTCCCCTTACTGTTCTCACTGCCTGATAGTCTTCTCCAGATCTTCCCATGACTAGTTCCTACTCATCTTATAGGCCTTGCCTCAAATGTCACCTCTTCAGAGAAGCCTTCCCTGATCATCTTATCTAAAGTAACCTCTCTACTGAATGGCCACCCAGTGCTGACGTCTCATTCCATATATCATCACCCTGTTTTGTTTTCTTTGTAGCCGGTCTAACTCTCTGATATTATCTTATTTATTGGTTTACCTGTTTATTGTCTGTATCCCACACCAGAATGTAAAGTCTGTGAACACAGGGATATCTTGTCTTTTGTGCTTACCACTGTCTCCAGCATTTAGAACAGACTCTAGAACATAATAGGTGCTCAGTAAATATGTTTTCAGTGATTCTGAGAGGAAGGATACTTAAATCCCTTTGGTGGCTGCTGCCAAGAAAATAACTAGGAATATCACACATTTCATGGTTAGAGAACTATGGAATACAGTCTTTTCAACTGCAACACATTTCTATAATGCAAATTAACACACATTTGGAAAATAAGAAAATAATACAATTGGTTCATATGTGATTTTTTCCTAGAGAAATCAATGGCTTAAAGCATTCAGGGGCAAGCTTTCTTACAGTTAAAGAGGGAAGCCTTAAGCTAAGAATACTATGGCAGTGCAACTAGTAGCTGGTTTAATGGCTTCAAGAACTGGTGTCCTACCTACAACATGAAGCGATCTGATAAAGCTGTAGAAATAGATGAAGAAGCAGAGAAGACATTTCCCTTGTGTTTAAAAACAGTTGATTGTTGAAGAAAGCACAGATCCAGAGCATATTTTTAATTTTGATGACAGTGTCATCTATTGGATAACATTGCCCTCAAGGACCTATGTCTTGCAGATTCAGGAACCTACATCTTGCAAAAATCAACTGTGATCCTGGGTACAAATGGTAGTAGACATTTGTCGAGTGCTAGTATTTTAATTGGAATAATTATTATTTTTATTGGTGTTCTCATTATAAAGTTAAATATGTTTCCAGTGTTATGGCCTCTTACTATTTTTCCAACAGTCCATTATTTTTATACACAATTTTGCAGAATGCAAAGTTTTTAAAGCATTTATATATCCTGTTAAAATGGGAACACTTGTTAACACTGTTAAAGTAGAAGCACCTATATTTCTCTCATTCTATTAAGGATTTAGCTGCCTGTCTTGCTTGCAGTGGAACATGACTTGGCATAAAGAACAAAATATTAAGAGGCACTGCGAATAAAAACACATTGTGCAATTAAGTAGCTTACAAGGTCAGACAAGGGAAGGTAAAAAAAACGGATTTCAAAAGTGCTTTCTTAAATAATAAAATTTGTTCAAAGGTGCAGCACCACAATGAAATGCTTCATTTCCCTTTAGTTCTGTGGTCTCTAAATTTGTGATTGTATGTGTGTGTGTGTGTGTGCACGCGTACGTGTGCCAGAGGAAGAAAAATATTTTAATAAAATAAAAATAATGTAGTAATGTTTAAGTTCAGTTGAAGATACTGCATTTTTGAAAAAATTTTAAAATATAGTCCACAAGAGGAAGTTAGTAAAGCTATAGAAGATTCAAACAACACTATCAACCAACTTGACCTAATTGATATCTATATAATCCTACACCCAACACCAGCAGAATACACATTCTTTTCAAGTAGACATGGAACATATGCCAAGATAGATCATATTCTGGGCCATAGAAAAAGTCTCATTAAATTTAAAAGGATTCAAGTCATATGGAGTATGTTCTCTGACCACAATGGAATTAAATTAGAAATCCCTAACAGAAAGATCTCTGGAATATCCTGAGAAATTAGGAAACTAAAGAGAACACTTTAAAATAATTCATGGTCAAGGAGGACAGCAAAAGAGAAACTGGAAAGTATTTTCAACTGAATGAAAATGAAGATACAACATATCACAATTTGTTGGATGCCGTTAAAACAGTACTAAGGGGAAAATTATAGCACTATATCCATATTAGAAAAGAAGAAAGATTCACTTTAGAGAAGAGGATAAAAGAGCAGTGAATCCCAAAGTAAGCAGGAGAAGGGAAATATTAAAGAATAGAGTGGCAATTGATAAAGAAAACAGAAAAAAACAGTGAAACCAAAGCTCTTTGTGAAGATTGATAAGATTGACTAACCTCTAGCTCAAGTGATTAGGAAAAAAAGAGAGAAGATTTAATTACCCAAATAAGGAAAGTAGAGATGACATCACCTAAGATTCTACAGATAGTAGAAGGATAATAAGGTAATGTTAAGAACAACTATGGTAGGCAGGCTCTAAGATGTTCTCCAATGATCCTACCTTCTGATAGTCACTCTTGGGAAATCCCCTCTCCTTGAGTATGGGCTGGACTTGCTCACTTGCTTATTAATGAGATGTCGCTTTTGGGATAAGGTTACAAAAAGACTATGGCTTCCATCTTTCCCACTTGCTCACTTTCACTCATTCTGAGGGAAGCCACCTGCCATGTTGTGAGCTGTCCTGTGGAGAAGCCCACATGGCAAGGAACTGATGTTTCCAGTCTGCAGCCAACAAGGACCTGAGGCTTACTAACAGCTATGTCAGTGAGCATGAAAACAGATCTCCTGAGGCCTGCTAACAGCACTGTGAATGAGCTTGGAAGCAGATTTTCCTTCAGTCAAGCTTGGGAAGATTGCTGCTGTGACTGACTGCTTCACTGCATTCTTGTGAGAAACTCTGAGCCAGAAGCACCCGGCTAATCTGTGCCTGTATTGTTGTAGAAATATTCCCAGTTTTACACAGACTCTTCTATAATACTGAAAATAATGGAGCATTTCCCAGCTCATTATATGAGGACAGCATTACACTGGTATCAAAACCTAACTATAAGCTAATATCCCCCATGAACATAAATCCAAAATTCTAAACAAAATTTTAACAGATTGGGTCCAACCAAATATCAAAAGGAAGACGCATCATCACAAAGTGATGCTTATCCCAGGGATGCAAGGTTGGTTTAACACCCAAAGATCAATCTATATAATTCACCTGGGGGCCAGCCCTGGTGGCCTAGTGGTTAAGTTTAGCGTGCTTCGCTTCAACAGCCCAGATTCCATTCCAGGACATGAATGTACACGACTCGTCAGTGGCCATACTGTAGTGGTGGCTCACATACAAAAATAGAAGAATATTGGCAACAGATGTTAGCAGGGCAAATCTTCCTCAGCAAAAAGAGGAAGACTGGCAACAGGTGTTAGCTCAGACTAAATCTTCTTCAGCAAAAAAAAATAATAATAATAATAATTATATATATATATATATAAAATTCACTATATTTACCAACTAAAAAAAATGTATGATCATCTTAATAAACAGAGAAAAAGCATTTGACAAGATTCAACATCCATTCCTGATAAAATCTCAACAAACTAGGAATGGAAGAGAACTTCCTCTAACAAAGTACGTCGATGAAAAACCTATAGCTAACACCATTTTTAATGGTAAAAGACTGATTGCTTTCCCATTAAGATCAGAAAGAAGACAAGATGTCTGCTCTTGCTACTTTTATTCAACATTGGAGATTTTAGCCAGTGCAATAAGGTAAGAAAAAGAGATAGAAGGTACCTAGTTTAGAAAAGAAGAACTAAAATGGCTTTACCCTCAGGTGACCTGACTATGTAGAAAATTCAGTGGAATCTATTTTTTAAAAAACTACGGGAACTAATAAATGAGTTTAACAAGGTTGCAGAATATAAGACCAATGTGCAAAACTCAACTGTATTTCTATATACTAAAAACAGATAATTTAAAAGTGAAATTAAAAACAATACCATCATAAAATATGAAATATTTAGGATAAATCTAACAAACAATGTGAAATACTTGTACACGGAAAACTACAAAACATTGCTGAGAGAAATTAAACAAATCCTAAATAAATAGAGAGATATTGCGTTCATGGGTTGGAAGACT